CCCAAAAAAACCAAACCCTACTTTTATTCCCAGGAGTGCATGAGAATTCTGAAGGAGAATTTCTTATTACTCAAATATAAATCTGAATATGAGAGAGACTAGAGGATAGGAGTTTGGACAAGGAATCTGAGGATGGAGAAAGCTGGGATCTGTCAGACAATGAAGTTTTAGAAGACTGCATTTAATGATTTGTGTTGTCTTTCCCAGTTTTCTGTTTCTGTGAATATCTAGTGTTTAAAAGAAAAAAAATGTATAATTTCAGTGTGTAATCAAATTGTGCCATTTTCATGTGATGTTATGATTTGTTACCTTGCCTTAGAGTATTGTAAGCCATTTCTCTCAATGCAACATTAGATGTCTCTCTCTATATTCCTCTATTAGTCAAAATACAAATATTTAAAGTAAGATTTTTTTTTTCAGTTGAGAGAAGGGAAAGGAACAAATGAAGAAGATAATAATGAATTTGAAACAAGACAATACTGTTAATCCTGTTGCTTACATCTTACCTTTTTTTTTAAAGTCTTTTCCCTTGCTCTGCCATCATTCATTTTTTGCTTCTCTCTTCAGCAGAAATATGTCTACACATTTTATGTTATATGCATTTAAAATATTTCCATCCAAATGTTAAGGGGCCATCCTGTCAAAGTTTGTCTTTAATGTCTCTCCTTACCACTACACACACTGGCTGACATGCGATTCTTCTTAGACTGGTCCTGGTAACCTAACATTTTCTGGGACTAGCTTGATTTTACTGAAATATTTACCTTCACTGCTGACCTTGCAGATTACACATGCAAGATATGCAATGGAAAGTATTTTTGATGATTTGCGAAGATTGGAAAGCGCAAAAACTGGAGGGTGCTTCTAGTGTAGGTACCCTTGATGCTGATAGGGAGAAGACTCTAGGGAGATATATAGATGCACTGGAGATACACACTTATGTTATGAAAGGCTGGAAGGGATTCCGGTAGGCTAAAGTAAAAGAAATTGAGAAGACAACAAGAATATAAACAACAGAAGTTTCTGAAATGAAGCTAATTTGAGTCATGGATGTATATCACTAAAGCAATCTTACAATATTTTCTTATTCTAGCTTTCTTTAATGGTGAAATCAGTGCGTTTTTGTTTGTTTGTTGGTTTTTTGTTGGTTTTTGTTTGTTTGTTTGTTTGTTTTGTTTTTCTTTGTCCATGATACTATATGTATATTTTACTGGAAATCTTTGTGATCTGCTAGAGTTTTTTTGTTTGTTTATATTTTAGTGAACTATAACTTGCCATTAATATATATTTTCTTAGTTTAGAATACAGTAGTGAAAACAGATAAGAGCCATGAGTATGCAGTCTACTATCCTGAAAACAGAAAAACAGTGCTGAAATTTTCAGAAAGTAGTATTGCAAAATTTTCTAATTCCCTGGATAATGGAAGTGAAATTGATGAACAAACAAGAAGTATAAATCTAAATCTATGTATTCATACCATTGTCATTTTTTTTTTGTAGCAAAAAACAAACAGTCAAATCTTCAGATACATGGGTGAACATTTGGCTGGAAGAAGCCAAGTTTATACAAGCTGTTATTCATTTTTTGTTTTCCACAGCATAATGCTGCCATCTGATGGTAGAAATAACTGAGACAAAATACAACATGCTTTTTCAGGTTGCCTGGAGTTTATGTCCATGTGATGAGTATAGTAATATTGATTATGCCTTAGGAGACTAATGGTCTCTACAGGTTGACTCCTTGAAACTACACAAAAGTGTTTTGGTTTGCTTGTATTTTAATACACTAAATGTTTTATTTTGGAAATTAGGATGCCTGGAAACCTAGCATTGCTTTTGTTGTTGGGAGCAAGATTGAAGATGAAATCCACACAAAGGCCCTGTCTCTTGCTGTGCAGGTGCCACAGCGGAAGCTCTTCAGTGTGATAAGACAAGAAGACATTTTCAAAGAGGTATTACAAAAAAACCTCCAGCATTTAGAAACAAGTCAAACACTAGATGGCAGTTCTGTTTTTGATATGTTAACTTTTTTGGTAAGTGGTAATTTCAAATGGTATATGTGTATGTATGTGTGTATTTGTGTGTATATATATATATATATATACACATAAAATAATAGGATAGCACTGTTGGAAGCTTTAAAAATTACAGTGATTTTAAGAGTTACAAATGGAAGAAGGAAAGCTGCATCTGTAAGCTGGTCTTCTTCCCATAAATACTGTGACTTAGTACAGACTTTCTTTAAGGTCCTAATGATCAAAGCTTCTCTCTCAAGGTACAGAGGTAACTTAAGATGATTCCTCACCATTTTGAAGTGTGAATGTAGAGTTTATTAAAAAAAAAAAAGGTAAAATGATTTAATTTAAATTTTAAAAACCACTCAATAGAGTGCTTTGTTTTCTTGAAGGTCATGGAAGCTGGAAATCAAAAGGGAAAAAAACTTAAGGATGTACCTATGTACCATGAGGTAGGTCGAAACCTGTATTGTCGAGTCAGTACTCTCTTACATTGAGGGAAATACAACTGTATAATTATGTTATATCTAAAATGCAAATTTGCTCAATGTAGCTGATAAAAACATTCAGGATGCTTAAAACTCCTTTCTTCTTCTGAAGCCATCACAGCCGTGTTTGGACTGCTAATTAAGTGAAGATCAAGATATCTTTCCAGGGATATGAGTTTTACTAAGTTAAGAATACATTATGTGATTGTATTTGATTAATATTCTCACAAATTACAGATAAATAAACAAACTCTGCTGTCCCAGATAGTGGCAGAAATGGCAGTAAGTTAGAGACTTACACCCTCTTTCATTTATGGACGGCAACTCTAGAACACCATCTGTATGTGCTAGTATCCCTTATAAAGTCCTAATGTGATTCATCCAGATAGATATGTCAGAAAGACTGGGAATCAGGTTTAGTATAAAGAGGATTTCCTTCTCCCAGTCCTTGTTAGTGTTTTACTTACAGCTTGTGGGAGGTTATAAACTCCTATGACCAATTAAAAGATTGTTGAAAATTTTCTCAGGTAGAGTTTTGTGGTCCTTTAGACCGGAACAAAAATAATTTTAGGTCGTTCTAAAGAGATCCTGTTTTGCTTTCAGTTCTGCAATGCTTAATAAGCTTTTTATATGTTTCAGGTTTTTGTCGGACTTTATAACAGGTCTTTTTAGTTGCAGTCTGTTTTTCAGTAATGCCAGACTACTATCTGAACAAGTCCCTTTAGAATTGACATGACTATGAATGTTATGCAATTAACCTTCTTCTTTTAAGAATAGCCTCCCAGGCAAAGTCACCTTTATATTTCTTGGGATGTAAAACTCCTTCCATCCTAGTGACAGAACGATTTTGAAGTCTGCCTTTAAGCAGAAGCTTTCCATGATAGCTGTATTTAATTACTAAGAGCAGTTTTCCTTGTGAAGTGAATACTTACTAAATTCCATCTGTCAGTGCTGTGTCTCATTAGCCACCTACTTTACTCCTCAAAGGCATTTCTTTTACTGTCTCCTCTTTTAACAGTGAATATAAAATGCCTTTTTTGACCTTTTGCTTGGACTCAGTTTCCGGTCTGGCTGTAGCAAATTAAAGGATTGATCACATTGCTACAAGCATTAAGATCCTGCCTATTTCAGTAACAGTTTCGTCCTGAGTATTCACTAAAGGCGCATCTGCAGTTTGTTTATCATTATTACGATGATAAACAATGATTACAAATTATTACAATCTCACAAGTAAAGAGGTAGCACAGAACAGAAAGTTGTGAAATGTTCTGAGAGGAGTGTTTCTGTCTTCCCTGAAATAAATTCTCTCCTCTACCGTAGAATTCAATGCAGTAGGGTTTCCACAAGTGTACATCAGTTTTAGGTGAGATTATAAGGGAGGTTCCTGAAGTTTTAATAATTTTTGAATATACAAAGTATATCAAAACATATCTACTTTAATATAGGTCTTTAATGACATGGATATTAGCATTGTTAATGATATTAATAGCAATGTCTCTTGTTGTCTTACACATTGCCTCTAGTGAAATGCATGGATAATAACACACTTTTGTGCAGCAGTCTGCATTACCTGCTTTAATTCAAGAAACTTTAGCTTCTTGATACGTTGCAAGCTAATTATGTATCATTTAAAAATATTTCCTTTGGTCTATTCTAAATTATTGCCCATCAGTTTTTAAACATCTTACTGTGCTGCATTTTGTATCACTCTTCAAATGTCTATAGTTTTCTTCAATTTATTTTATTTTTTAGTTTAAAGAGTTTCTGAAGTGACTTGGTCAGGTTCACAAAATAAATAAATTCTCAAAAAGTAGGAGTTCTGATTTGTAGTTCTATGTTAACTCCAGCACTTAATTAGATGTCATTGGTTGAGTCCCTCATAAAGATGCCAATGTGGTTGGGAAATCTTGTATATGGGAGTGAAAATGTTAAGTTTCCTGTAAAATATCATCAGATTTCATAATAAATCAGTTTAAATCATCCATACATTTTTTTCCCCTCAAGAGAAAACACTTAAAACTGCAATGTGTTTGAATACAATGTATGTGTTCTATATGTGGAAGGTTTGTACTTTTTATTGTCCATATACCTGTTTGTTTTGCATGTTTTCTACTAAGGTGGTAATGTCATGTGTCATGAAGATGTTCGTCTTCTACCGAATATGAAACTGTTTCACTTTCCAGACTTGAACTCAGCCCTGGGAGATGCAGAACTGTGAGAGGAAGATATTCCTTCTCCCTTCATCTCCACTAAAAGTGACCCAAGTATTCTCTGTGTTCTTTTCAGTCTAGGCTGCAGTGTTGTCTGGTGTTTTAGATTTCTTCTAAACCTAAAGCCTTCTGTTTTAGGTTTACACGGTTCAGGCTTAACGCCTCTCAGATTTACAAGAGAACTTGAATGAGAGTTAGGTCATTAGGTTAAGAGTTGGACTGTTCTTTTCTGGTAATGTATGTTTCAATGTATGGCTTAGTCGTATATGCTGGATCAAAGATAATATAGCACTTGCTCTTCTGTTCTTAGTGTAGATCCTCTGAGTTTGTGTCCATGTGTCCAAATTAGGTCTTAACATTTCTATATGTATTTAGCAATTTGTATTAAATTCCTTCAGGCTTTTTCAATTTTTTAGTTTCTGTGAATCTTCTCCAACAATTCTTTACAATTCACTGGGTTTTTTTGTTTGTTTTTGTTTGTTTGTTTTTAATTATGGTCTCTGGAATGGACTTGCTTTTAATTTTTGGAATACATACCAAATAAAAACATAACAAAATCTATGCACTCCTAGTGTAGGAGCTCACTGTGTACAAATTGGAAGATTGTGTTAGCTATCTCAGCTGTTGCTTTACTTACTTGCACCCCTCTAGCTATATTAGCCAAATTATTTTGTATGAATGAGTTTTCTAGTACAGTCTTTCTAATTTGCATGATTGTTATTGTGTCTTCTGCAAATCTTATAATGAAGGACTCTCTCTTCCGTAATCACTGATAAATGTCAATGCTTCAGATCTCACAAGAAACTCACCTTTTATGATGAATCTTTACATATTACTGCATTTAGAGACCTGCCAGTTAATGAATTTTAGTCTTTGACAGTGCTTTATTAGCTTTGGATGCTTGCCTCAAAATCAGTACTCATAAAATACTTACAGAATTCTATTTTTCATTGCATCAATATTATTTTTTTCAGCTAGAATAAAGTGCTCTTGTACACATTTAATTGCCTTGTCTTTCTTCCTTTATTTTCTGTAGTTTGTAGTTTAGGATGTATTTGTTCCTACAAACTACTACTTTTTCCTTTTATTGATTTTAATTTTTAAAGTTACTTATGTTAGCCCTTTTTCTTTTAAACTCGCATGCTTATTTTTCTTGGTTATGAGATTGTGCCTTTTTTTTTTTTTTTTGTATTAAGCAGTGTCCTTAAAAAGGCATAAATTGAAATTCATGTTCCTATGTTTAAATTCTTTCTGCGACTGACCTGGGGCATAGTTATTTTCAGTTTTGTATTACCGACCTTAACAAACAGAGAATGCAAAAGTGTCTATTCGGGTCTTTTGTCTGCTGGCATGTACTAAATATAATCTGAATCACAGAATCGTTAAGATTGGAAGGGACCTTTGGAGATCATCTAGTCCAATCCCCCTGCATGCGCAGGAACACCTAGAGCACGGGGCACAGGATTGCATCCAAGCGGGTTTGGAAGATCTCCAGAGAGGGAGTTTCCACAACCTCTCCTGAGTTCTCCTGCCATCTCAAACAGGGACCCGTTTCCATTCTTGTTCATCTCTTAATGCTGTTAATTAATGTTAATTCTGCCCCCTCCACCCTATGGCAGGAGGACAGGGGACCCTCAGATCCTTTTGGGATTCTCTGGGTGCCCTTCCTGGGACGGCTGCAGAGTGCAGCCCCACCAGGCTGTTTCTTTCTCGCATTCCCTGTTGCTCCTCAGCCTTTTGACCTCCTCCTCCAGCTCCACCACCAGGCTAAGCAGCTCATCCACCTGCTCACACTAAGGCAGGGGTTGGTTTTGCTGCTCCCCGGTAACACGGAGAGGCCCAGACACTGCCTGCAGCTGCAGACCTGGCTGGCCGCTTGTTTCCTCAGCGGGTCAGCCGTTGCCACCCCAGCCTCCCCGGCACAGAGACCACAGCTCTGCCTGGTTCCTCCCCAAGGGCAGAGGCTTTTCCTGGGCCAGGAGGAGACTCCCTGTAATCTAGATACTACAATAGTCTAGTATTATGATTAGTGCCTCTTTATCTACTGACTAAAATCAAATTCCTACAGAATGAAAAATATCCATCTTCTATTTTTAGAAATTTCAAGGGTGCTTTCATAGTGGAAATCATGAAAGGTCTGGCTTGCATCAGACTGAAATAGTGTGTGATTAATGTAGGAGTGGGGAGGAGGGAGAGTATTTGCCTGAGACATTAGAGCGTTTAGGGAGTTCTGTTTTTGTAGTGGATTTTTTTTGTTAGAAAACGAAGGCATTAATTTGTTTGAGGTTATTTGAAAACTATACTTTTTTTTTTTTTTTACATGTTGCCTCTCCTCCATTTACTCCTTTCTAAATAGGTTATAATAATTGGGGTTTTTTAATACTGTTTGTATGAATTTTTCCTACCTTGTTTCAGTAAAACCAGTGCGATTAACTTTGTATTTATAGATGAGCAATTACACATTCTCTTGTTTAGAGCATGATATCATAGAGCAGATGTAAAAGTAAAGATTGATGTCTTTATCCTTTTGTGTTTTGATTGACTTTGCACTCAGTTCCTTTTCCTTCTTCACCTTCTGATATTAAAATAATGCCATCCCTGATAAGTCTAGCAATCCTGTCTCTCCTTCCCCAAGGAAGAGATCTAAATGTTGCACCCTATTCTGTAGATGGGTGACAGAGCACTGGAACATGTTGCCCAGAGAGGTTGTGGAGTCTCACTCTCTGGAGATATTCAAAGCCCGGTTGGATGTGG